CAAACCTTCACCCCTCTCACACGAGCCTGTGAAGGGTGACTTTCATTTTTCCAAGTAAGCATGATTCGCAACTATCATTTGACTTTAGGTCAAACGACTCCAAGACTCCATCCTTTTGGAGTTGGCCTATGCGTTTCTTGCTTATATGTCCAAGACGACAATGCCATAATGATGCTTTATCCAAGTTATTATTATTAGGAGAATCAATACACAAAACATTATTTCCTAAGTTATCTACAACAGATACAGCTTCATACACACCATCACAAGGTAATGCTTTAAAATAAAGAACATTATTAAAGAAAGCATTAATCGAACCAACTTCATTATCAAATGAAAAGGTGAAACCTTGTTTATACAATGCATGAAAGGAAATAATATTTCTTGCCATTTCTGGCGAATAACAACATTTATTCAAATCTAAATTTAACCCACTACTTAGCGATAAAGTATAAACTCCAATCTTGGTGACAGGTGTAACTTTCCTATTCCCCATGATTAAGTTTATTCTTCCTTGCTCCACATTCTCACTTCTTCTTAGTCCCTGCAAGTCACAACAAATGTGAATACCACAACCGGTATCAAGGACCCAAGATTTCGAATGGGGTGAGTTATTAGAAATGATAGTGTAAATACCTGCATGGTTGGGTTTAACTTTCCCATCCTTCACATCTTGCTGGTATTTTGGGCAGTTCCGCTTCCAATGTGATTTTTCATGGCAATAGAAGCATTCAGCCTCTTTTGGGTCAGAAGAAGGAGTGACGAAACCTTTCTTGGTTCCACTTGAAGAAGAGCCATCAAGGGTCCTAACCTTGGTACCCTTCGAAGAACTCTTTCTCTTCTTCCCTCGACTTTTCCCGATTGCCAAAACCGGAGTGGAGTTTGGAGTAGGAGTGTTAACAACCGACTTCCCCTTAAGACCTGATTCTCGGTCTTGAGAAGTCCCTGAAGTTTGCTGAGTGTGACCTCTTCCTTATTCATGTGATATGTCATGCGGAATTGATCATAGCACGATGGTAAGGAGCGCAAAATTATATCTATTGCAAGCTCCTCAGGGAAGTTCACATTAAGCTTCAACAATCGATCCACATACCTTTGCATTTTTTGCATGTGGCTCGTGACGGAATCCCTGTCCTTCATCATGGTTGTTATCATGGAGCAGATGATTTCGTACCTCTCTTGTCGTGCACTTTGATGGTATTTTCCATCAAATCTTGGTGCATTTCATAAGGTAGAAATCCTCATAGGACTTTTGGAGTTCCGCTGTCATTGTGGCCATCATGATGCATGCTACTTTCGTAGCATCCCTTTCATGTGCCTGAAAGTCAGCGATCTCCTGAGGAGTTGCAGTGGTCTCATCAATCTCCTTAAGCTCCTTGTCAAGGACATATTCTTTGTCCTCGTAGCGGGTAATCATCCTGATGTTTCTGATCCACTCATTGAAGTTGGATCCATCAAAAGTGACTTTCCCACACAAGTTCATAAGGGTAAAGGAGCCATTAGGATTAGAGCCAGAAGCAGCATTGTTTGAAGACATCTGAAGGAAGAGGACAAGATTAGTTTAGATATTAAGAGAGTCCTTAATAAAACACCCAAATGTAATATTAAGGCTAGGATCCAATCACAATATATTATAACTTAGAAGAGGTATGCGTAATCCAAGCTATAACATATTTGAAAGGTAGGTGAATGACGATTCACCAATTTCCACCACGAAAACCGAAATATTAGATATTAGGTTTTATGATTGGTTCTTAGAAATTCCTAGATTCTTTGAGATTCAATGAACTTTTCAAAGGCATGTTTCAATCTCGAGTGTGCCCTCCAAGTTTTGTGACTGGGATACCGAGGATCACAAAACGAGGTGTGAAGTAACCATGCAAATCACTTGGTACCCTTAAAGTTTATCACTCAATCGATGTGCCGGTAAACCACACACGCTCCACCGATACTATAATAAACCTTAAGTCACCCTTTACCTACCTTTTTAAGTCCAAGTTAGTGTGCTGGTTAAGCACACACCCTCCACCAACGACTTCGACAAAGTGTAAAGTGTAATTTCATGGATTAGCACCTTATTCACATTTTCCTAAAGTAACTAAGATTGGGAATTTAATAAAACATTTAGTTACTTTACAATATTCATCATACTTTTAATGAGAATTTATAAGTCCTTGTCCTACCCGTTCGGCTAACGACCCTCCACCAGTCAAGCGAGCGGTGGGTGAGAATGGACACCCATTAAGTTGCCATTTTATAGGCAACAACCTTATACCCACCTTATAGACCGGCTTCGCGAATGAGGCGTACTAGCGGTAAGACGACTTTGTTCTTATATATATATATATATATATATATATATATATATATATATATATATATATATATATATATATATATATATATTATTAAATTATAATAATAGAAGTATAAGGGTTGAATTTTAACTTTTAAAATTCTAAGGGTTGGAACTAAAGTTTTAATAAGACTTTACTTGTTCCAAAACATGAGGGCAAGTTTCGTAACTTTCAAAACTTTTCATTTCTTGTAACTTATGAGTTTAATAGAGTAATAAAATGAAGACTCTTCATTTTTCTAACTCTTGTGTTCTTTTAATGGTTTTAATTCAAGTGTGACTCTTGGTTTTCCATAACTTGAGGACAAGTTATGGACTCCATTAAAACACATTATGATCAAGAATTAATCTACCACATAGGTTACAAATAATTCCTATGACCATCTAAAACATCATAAGAACAAGAACATGAATATGAACACATTCATAAATCAAAATTACACTTAAAACTTTGTAATTTTGATAACTAGTTGTTCTAAATGAATTAGCAAAGACATTACACCATCTAAAACAAGTTTTCAAGTACCAAAACAGTTTAGGGTAATGTTTCTAATCCATTTCCAGCAACTAAAGTCGGAAATCTGCACTCTGTCGACCCTACTCGCCGAGTGCATTAACCTACTCGACGAGTAGGTTGAAGATACAAGTGAACTCGACGAGTCCCCCATGGACTCAACAAGTCCCCCATGGACTCGACGAGTCCAACAGTCAGACGGCAAGTTTTTCGACTTTCTTCAACTTTTCAGCACAAATAACAAACAAACAAGCCTAGGCTCTGATACCACTGTTGGGTTTTGAGCATTCTAACACTTCCTAAGTGTACATGCAACCCTAATAACCTTGGATCTATGTTTGTCTAATTATCATGCAAAGTTGAATTCCAAGGCTATATTCCTATCTAGCATACATGGGGAACAATTTTAACTTGAATGATAGATAGAATAACTTACCTTCTTGTTGCTAATGTTCCTTGAAACCTTATGAGCCTAGCACCCCAAGTGTGATGCCCCAAATGATTCACACAACAGCAAATGCTCTTGGAAAGACTTTTGAAAGAATGCACACTTCTTGAAATCGGCCTAGCCCTCTTGTTTCCTTAGTGTGGCCATTTTGGTGGACAATATGATTCTTATATAGTGTTGACACATCTAGGGCTACACCATGTAAACCCTAATGTGTCATGACTCTTCATTTCCATGACCCATGGGTTTGTAACTCCCATGGAGCATCCTATGGGTGGAACCCAAGTTGATAATCCATGGAGCCTCTTAGCCCACTATACAAGATATGGATGATTTACATAATCATCCCATATATTTAATTAGTTCTCTTTTGATCACTTAATTAATTCTAAATTAATTGTTGATCAAACTAATCAAATAATATTATTAATATATTAGAACTTATAATATATTAATAATCTCCAAGTGTTATTTATCTCATTTAGTCTATCCAATTGCATGGTGCCATGCAACCCAAATGGACCATGTTGGGTCGGGTCAAGTACATACCAGAAATAGTTATGGACTTAGACACCTTATCCAACAGTTCCGACGCTGCATTTCCCAATAATTTCCGACACCTTATCCAACAGTTCCGACGCTGCATTTCCCAACAATTTCCGTTGTGGTGGAAATTACACTTGTTGCATTTAGGGAGACTACCAGCAGAAGGCTTAGTTGGCGAGGGGTTAGTAGGAACAACAGAAGGTACAGTATCAACATGGACTGCCACCAACTGTTGCTTTTTTGAGGATTCTTGAGAAGATTGACCTTTTTTTTATTCTAGTTTCTCTTCTTGTTGCTATTGTTATTATTGTTGTTGTTTCCCTTGGGTTGTTCTGGAGCGGTAATCATAGAGTTTTGATGGGCTCCATGGTCAATAAGTGACTGTGCTAGCTCTTTAGCACTATCAAAAGTAATAGGACTGGAAGCAATAACACTTCCCTGAATCTGAGGTGACAGCTCCCAAATATATCTTTCAATCTTTTTGCTCTCTAGAGCAACCATATCCGGGCATAGGTTCACTAAGTTGCTGAATTTATTAGTATAGGTTATTATGTCTGAAGCAACCATAGTTAGACCCCAAAACTCTTGTTCAAGCTTATGAAACTCTCCCTGCTAGCAGTAGTCCCACGTCAGCATTGACTTCAGGTCCTCCCAACTTATCAAATTAGCCACTACCAGAGTTAGTGACTTAACATGGCCGTTCCACCATGTTAGGGCTCTATCAACAAAGCTACAAGCAATGAATTTATCAATTTAACCTTGTTGCTTTCTGGACAAGAGCGGATTTTGAAGACTACCTCTATTTTCTTAATCCATTGTCTTAAGGCCATTACTCACCCAGTCCCCTTAAAGGTCCTAGGTTTTCCATTTGAAAATTCCTTGTAGTTACACTCTCGATGGTTCCCTTAATTTTTACTCTGATTAGATGGGTGTGGGCCATTCCCTGACCCACTTGCACCAGTTTTGTTTATATGTGACATAGCAGCTGCAATAACTGCAGTGACCGCCGCCTGAAACGTGGCAGCATCAAGTTGAGGAGGTGGTGGTGGTGGTGGTGTTGGCGCTTCATTAACATTGACACACATTGGGTTTCTCCGCGGAGGCATATTTTACTATAAAAGTTAAAGATGAAAAAGATGGTAAGATATCAAGAGTGATCAGGAATATGATATCTATGAACTAAAACACTTAGTTCAATATGAATTTTGTAAAGAATTGGTAATTATTACAAGTACAACCTGCAACAAGATAATATGAATTTGAGTGGTTATTTTTCAAAGAGTATGAAAATTCTTGTCGATTGTATTGGAATATTAAGTAGATATAGTCTGGAAAACTTGACCTTAAAGTTGGTCTACAATATACTACAATACTGGGAAAACATCAACATCAAACCAACCTACCGAAAATGAAATTTTCGCAGTCATACTGAAAAACATGAAAAATAACACTAGAACATATTCTTAGACTTAGACTATAACCAAAATTTATGAAATAAGATGTTTGTAAAAATTGCAATAACTCTTGTTGAAGTAAAATGCTTATCATTTTATTCATATATGGTTTTGTACATATAGTAAAAAGTAGTATATACATTCGATATCTTAATTTACATTAAATTAGAAAATAGAAGTAGTGTAAACACTACTTTCGGTGAGTACGACTCCTAGTACTTGGCCCGGTCACATGGGATTCTGATTCCCTTAAACACCTCTCCAGTGTAGTTTGACGCTCTTGAAGTGCTCTCATTTCAATTTGAGCTGCAATCATTTCTACATGGAGCATGTCTGTGTGGTGTCTGGTTTCATCGTGATCCCTGTCTAGATAATAAAGATTTATAGCTTTTTCTTGGTAGGCAACAATGACTTCTAGGATTCGAGTGATCGATATCTAGGATTCATCAACCTGATGAGAAATACGGTGCACTATAACAGGGAGGGCCCTGTCATCCGATCCTCCATTGCTGATGTTATAAAAATTTATGTTCATTCCAAATGGAGGGTGCTGTCCATGTTGTTCGCTCCTCCTATGAAATTCTTCACCCCATGATGGGGTTGGACCTTGAAAATGTTGTCTGGCTACTGGGCGTTGTACTCCTTACGGTGGATTATATGCCTCTAGTTCTGAGTCTGTGCCATTTGAATTTTCTTCTTCACTATCCTCCTTAGGATCCTCTTTCGGATCATCTTCTATCAAACCATAATTCCCCTGGTTAAGAAAATAGTGATCTTCAGGTGGAGGGTATCCTGCCATTTAGTCCACACGACGAGCAGGTAGGACGAGATCTAGGTGTCATCTCACCTTATCACGAGCCGTCATCCAATGTTGATAGACTTCCTAAGACTCATGAGGACGACACTCTTGATTTAGAGCCATCATCGGAGTCTCCAGCCTCAGACTGGCCTTCCAGTGTGTACGCCACAGGTTTTCGAGTGATCTACACCCCTGGAAAATCCATTCCTCTTCCATCCCAAAAGGGAGTAGCCTCACCCCATCATCCCCAAATCTATCCAAGAAACCTTGCCCTACCCATAACTAGACGCCCCAAGTACACGAGTCGATCCAGGACGACCTCAATGCCCACTACGAGATTGGAGAGTTGTCCTAGGCTCCAAGACGCGACCCCATCCCTTGGGATCCACAGATCGAGCAATTTTAGTGTTAGTTCTGCATGTGGGACTAGACGAGGATTGCATACATCTATTATAGGAGGATCGTGACTTGTTGTGCAGGAAGGTTAGGAGTTTGACAGACGTCGTCAGAGGTTGAGAGGAGAGGAGGGATTTTGATGTGATGAGGATCCTCCATGGTTATGATGACCTAGAGGAGACCCATTCTCTAGTGCAACATCATCTTATCAAGATTAAGAGTCTCGATCAACATGCGACAGAGGCAGAGTTGAGATTGTTGGTGTCAGAGATTGAAGCAGTCACTCTGGAGGCAATGATCGGGTGCCTACAGTAGTAGTTAGCCCAAATAGTTATTTGATTGGTAGTTTACTTTACGTTGTGGTGAATAGTCTAGTCTTGGTTAGCTTGGAACTATGATGTTTTTGAGTTTAAGGGAGGGAATAGCAGCGTAGCCGATATAAGAATCCACTACTTCTTTTCTGTATTATAAATCGTATTCCTGTTCAAACCACACTTTCATACACTCTTTTTGTTATGATAAACTGATGTATAAAATCTAATAAAATCCATAAAAGTTTTTATGATCTAAATGTTTATGTGTTATTTTGATTGCTTTAAATAAATTAACCCTTCTAACTTAGCAAGATAAAATAATAACTAACTCTTACATTAAATTAAGAATCATGCCTCATACTAGACGTAACCCAGGAGCACCTAAAAGGTATCATGAGCCATTGAGCTCAGCCTCAATTGATGCATTGATCGCCCAACATGTATTTGATGCCATAGCAAGTCTAGCAACCCCTAGGAATGTAGGATCAGGAGGAAATGGAGGTGAGAGCTCATAAGGAGACAATCAAGTTCCTACTAGAGTCTGTTCATATAATGATTTTATAAATTGTAATCCAAAAATCTTCTATGGAAATAAGGGAGTTGTTGGGATGACTAGGTGGATAGAGAAGATGGAATTGGTCTTTGAGATAAGTTTTTTTTCTAGAGGACTGTGAACTCAAATTTTCCGCTTTAACCTTGGCAGCTACAAACCAGAGCTGGTGGAACAGTTACTCCAAGATCATGGGTGTAAACATAGCTAACATTATGTCTTGGGATGAGGTGAAGAAACTCATGATTAGAGAATACTATCCACGTGAGGAGATGTAGAAAATGGAGCAAGGGTCGTGGAATCTGATGATGCAGGAAGCTAATATTACCACCTATACAAGTCACTTCAATGACGTCGCCACCTTGTCTATCAGGATGGTTAACCCAGAGGAGAAGAAGATAGAAATATATATTTGGGGTTTGCCTCAGCCTATTTAAGGCTTAGTTACTACCTTAAAATCTACTACCTTTGATAGCACCAAAATATTAGTCTTTAGTCTGACCCATCAAGTGGTTCATCGAGTAACGATGGTTTAAAACGATGACCTTCCAAAGGCAGTGGGTAGTAAAAGGAAAGGCAGGAAAGGGAAAGCTAAGAAGTCATCAGAAAAGAAGAGCAAAGTGATTCAAGCATTTATAGTTGCAGCACCCTCGGTAGGGACTACTTTAAGAGGTAGTCTTAAGTGAAAGGAATGTAGGTATCATCACCATGGAACATGTTGGATCTGTACCAAGTATGGAAAGAGAGCTCATCTAGCAATCAAGTGTAGAACCCAATCCAATAGAGATAGACGAGCATCCTATGAGTGCAAGGAAATTAGACACATGTGAAGGGATTGTCCAAAACTAAGAGGTCAAGGAGGTGCTGCTAGAGGTAGGGCTTTTGTTATCGGAGCGAGGGAAGCTGTCGAAGATCCGACGGTAGTGAAGAGTACGTTCTTAATCAATAACTTGTATGCAAATACTCTTTTTGTTACTAGCACTGATAGAAGCTATATTCATCTCGAATTTAGGAAGTTATTAGATCACTGTGACAATCGTTAAATTCCGGACAAGTCAAAGTCAAATAAAGTCAACAAGTCAAACCAGTCAACTCAATTAACCCGGGTACATCAGGGTTACGTTATGTAATCACTGTACAATTCACTATTCTAATGAGAAAACATCATTTGGAAAATCCATGTTGTAACGTCCAGATTCTTTGGTATGTTAGATTATTTATATATTTCGATTTAATCGAAGGGACTCGGCGAGTTGGTGGATTAACTCGTCACGTAAGGGCGCGATCAGGTGATGTGTTTAAATGAACGGACTCGATGAGTCGAGCATTGGACTCGCCGAGTCGGTGTTGTGGAGGAAAAGCGTAATTGTCCGGTTTGGCACCTATTTAAAGAGCCTTAGGGTCTTCAATTGCGGCTATCTTTACCCTGGAGAAACCCTAAATAATCCTTGAGAGCTTAGAGAGTAAAGAAGAGCCATCTTGAGCATTTTGGTGTGTCATTTCTAAAGAGAAGATGAGATTCTAGCAAGAGGGACCAGAGGGGGTTGATGCACTAAGGTTATGAAGCCTGGAGCTTCACTTTGAGGTAACAAATCGGACCATTTCTCCTGTTTGATGTTGATTTCATGAATCTAGGGTTTCTTAACCATTCTCTTTAGAGGTTTATGGAATGTTTGAGGTCCCAATATGGAATAAGCCTTAAATCTTGTGACATCCCCATTTTCACGGCCAGAAAAGACCGATTTTGTTTATGCTTTATAAAAATCAGAGTTCTTCTTTTAATAAAAATGTTGCGGAATTTGTTCCAAGAAAAACACGATAAATACGTTATTAAAACATTTTTGAAGAAATGTATTTTATTCATTTTAAAACATTTGGGATGTCATCGTCAATACAGGAACATAAGCATAAATAGAACTTACATTTATTTACACTAGTAATCTACATCTCTTTAATCTCTCAGTGTAATGTGACTTCATATTAACACCTGCGATATAAATAACCTGAGTGGGTCAGGTTAGGAAACCTGGTGAGTACATAGGGTTTTCAACGCACAATAATATAATTATTATGTTTAAACAATCAAGCAATTAAGCCCAATTACCCATCCCCATTATCTTTTTTACGCTTAAGGATCTACCCTAAGAATCAGCTATTTCTCGTTTATTCATTCCTAAGGATTATCCTAAGGAATCAGCACAAAGTCCATCATTGCCACGGTTTACACAACGGGCACTAAGTCTGCATAGTCGTCAGGGTTCAGGCATCAAGTCTGCATGATCACCACGGTTTAGGCATCAAGTCTGCATGATCACCAGGGCTTAGTCATCAAGTCTGCATGATCACCAGGGTTTAGAGTACACCGGGTGAACACATCGTTCACAACACCTACAGGTTGCGAGCCTGCTAGTGTTCCACTGGACTGTCTAGAATAGTCCGTGGTTGTCATCCATACACTGCTGAATGATGGGGACATCATTTGGGAAAAAGGCTTCTCACATCATCCACCTCTCATCCTCACCTCACGGTCTATTTCACCTCTCAACTCATCATCCAACTCATACTCCATCTATTACATCTACCCATGTCTTACCCCAACATTATCGTAGATATAAAATACATATACAGTTTAAATCATTTAAAACATGTATAAAATCGTTCATCCAGCATAGACAACAAGTATTCAGATAATATGCACACATCGCACATAATTTATATAAAATACTTAATATCTATGTGTAAGATGAAAGTAACTATGTACTCACTTGAAATGGTGGTGATTCCGAACTCAGACAGCGCTTCACTTCTTGAAAAAAAAAAAAAAAAAATCTTCGACGAAACCTAGTATTATTACCACTAGAGTTTAGTCTATTATTCACCGAGACTAATTAATAATCTAGCTATTATTACTATTATATAACCGTTAAATAATACTTATATAACCCATAATAATAGCCTAATTTGTTATTATATGTTCTTAATAACGTTAATATAATTAAATAAAAACTATATTAAAAATAGAGTAGGCGTAGCTCACGTACAGCGGGTTTTATAGAAAACCAGGCTTTGCTTGGAGCAGCATTCCCATGCGGAAAAGCTCATCTTCTCGGAGCCGTCAAGCACTCAGGGGCTTCCGCCTTGTGCTAGGGAAGTTCCCTAGGCTTTTCGGGGGGTTTCGGGGCTAGAGAGAGAATAAAGTAAAGAAAGAATGATAAATGTGTGAATAAAATGAGAGTGGGAGATGTTATATTTATAGGATGAAAATGGCTGAACTTGGTTCCACATGTCACCATCTAGTGGCAAGACTTGGTGTGAAAGCAATGGCTAAGATTGTGCCACATCACCCATTTTCGTAAAGCACACTTCCGACTTCTAAAATCCGTAACTTTCACATACGACCTCCATTTTTGACATTCTTTATATCCACACGTAGGTAAAAATAATATCTACAACTTTCATTTTGACTCCATTGGCTAATTCTCGAACGATCTTAAATTTAACCTTCCGAGGCGTTTAGACTGTTAAATGATCGCGAAGAATTCGTAACTCCTTCATATGGACTCCGTTTTCATCTGTCTTTTTACTGTTGAGTTCCTATTAATGAGATATTCAACTCTCATTTAGGTCGCATAAGCCAAAAACCGCTCGAACTAAAATTCGAGTTTTGGGTTGTACACTACTAAGCCAAATCTTAGAAAAATCATAACTTTTTCATACGAAGTCAGATTTGGGCGTTCTTTTTATGGATTTTCTCGGTTTAACATATTCTACAACTTTTGTTTAGATCACTAAGGCTAAATCTCACTCTATCGTAAATTCACTTTTTACACTTCCCGGTACCGTGTCGGTTCCGTCGCGAAACTTCGACGGGTCATAACTTCTTCGTTATAACTCGGATTTCGGCGTTCTTTATATGTACGGAAACCATGTGACATATACTACAACTTAATTCAAATTATTTATGCTAAATAATATTTTGTCGAAAAGTCATTTTCGACCCCTATTATCTCTAAATTGACTAGCCCGGATCTACGGGCGTTACAATTATCTCCCCCTTAGGATGATTACGTCCCGGAATCATCAATGAAACAGGGCTCGTATAATCACTCCATATATCATCTCTTCATCTTAGGTAATAATTGTAACTTCTATATTCCTGCAAGTCTATCTCTTAGACTCATTGGCTGTAAGCGGTACTCGATCGTGC